CCCCTTTGTCAACAATAAAGTGACTGAGTATATCTGGAATCTTCTAATCTCTCCCAGTGATCCTTAGATTTGTTTTTTGGCCAATACCATGCTGATTTTATCACAGTAGCTTTGGAGTATAACTTCAGGTCATGGATTGTTAATGCCTTTTGCCTTGCCTTCGTTGCCCAGGACTAACTTTGCTGTTCTAAGTCTCTTCTGTTACCAAATGCATTTTAGAAATGTTTCCTCTAGATCTGTAAGGTATGTTAATGACACTTTGATTGGAATTGCATTAAATCTGTATAACAGTTTAGGGAGTACAGCCATTTTGACAATGTTGGTTCTTCCTAACCAGGAGCAAGGGATATCTTTCCATTTTATGAAGTCCTCTTCAGTCTCCTTTTTTGAGTACTATAGTTTTCAACATGTATGTCTTTTACATCAATTGTTAGGTTTATTCCTAAGTATTTCATTGTTTTGAATGCTACTGTGAAAGGTGTCATTTCCATAATTTCTCTCTCAGTGAGCTTGTTGTCTGTGCACAGGAATGCTATTGATTTTTGAGTGTTGACTTTGTATCCAGCTGTACTGCTGAATTTGCTTATTAACTCTAATAGTCTTTGACAGAGTGTTTGGGATCTTCTATGTAGAGTATCATGTTATCTGCAAATAGTGACAGTTTGACCTCTTCCTTTCCTGTCCTTATTCCTTTTATTTCTCTCTCTTGTCTGATTGCTCTAGCTAATGTTTCCAAAACTATATTGAACAGGAGCGGTCACAGTCTTGTCTTGTTCCTTATTTTAGAGTGAAAGCTTTAAATTTTTGTCCATTTAATATAATGTTGGCTGTTGGTTTGTCATAGATGGCTTTTATCAGATTGAGCTAGATACCATCTATTCCGAGTTTCTGTAGGGATTTATTATTATTATGTTAGACTTTATCAAAAGCTTTTTCTGAGTCTATTGAGATGATCGTGTGATTTTTGTTTTTGACTTGTTGATGTGGTGTATTACATTTATTGATTTGCATATGTTAAACCATCCCTGCATTCCTGGGATAAATCCCACTTGATTATGATGTATAATCAATCTTCTTGATGATTTGCTGCATTCTATTTGCCAGTATTTTATTGAGAATTTTTGTATCAATATTTACCAGGGAGTTTGGCCTACAGTTCTTTTTGGTTGGGTCTTTCTCTGGTTTTGGTATCAAAGTAATACTTGCCTCCAGGAATGAGTTAGGAAGAATTGTTTCCCTTTCAATTTCATGGAAGAGTTTAAGGAGTATTGGTGTTAAATCATCTCTAAATTTCTTATAGAATTCAGCTGTGAATCCATCAGGTCCTGGGCTTTTCTTTGTTCATAAGTTTTTAATCACATTTTCATATTCCATATTCAAAATTGTTAGATTTTTAAAATTTTATTTAAGGAGAAAAAGAAAAAAAAAACAGAAAAAGGGTACAAGTAATACAGAATTTCAAAAAAACACACAGTAGGAAATCACTAGTTAATAGGTTACATACTGTCATCTTAGAAATAGTTGTTCACATTACAAAATTAAAGCATATAAAGTGGACATTCAGACAGTGAGACTGAAAACAGTTCTGTTCAGTGATCCAACAAAAACTTAGCAATATGGTTATCTATCTTATTTGCTTAAATATACATGCAGTTATATCCTTTAGAGCACTTTCTTTCCCTTTTTTTTACTATGACAATTACACATTTTGGGTTTAATTACTCCCACAGTTCTTATTACTTAGTTTTTGAAGAGAATAAAACCAAATGTGACATAATAAAACAGAGCCAAATCAAAAGGGTGGACATAGTACATAATATAAAAACAGAATATAAGGTGATCAACAATGGTTACCATAATGCCGCTTGCTATCTTAAAAAGAATTGCCTATATCATCAGTTGTAATAAAATTGAACAAAACAGTAAAGAACAAAACCAGTAAAACCAAAACATTGGAGACATTACAGGACTTCAAAAAAAGATAATAGTCAAACCAGAATGGGCATCATAGTGAATCTTATTGTCTTCAAAGTTGTTGTCTATACTCTCAAACTTGGTACTATCAAGCAAAACAGCATAGAGTAAAATGAGTCAAAACAAGATGGTGAGGGCAATACAGGGTTTCAAATCAAGTTAATAGGAATTCAAAGTGGGTTACTATAATATATCCCGCTATTTTTATTTTTTCCCTTAATTAAAAAGATAAAAATAAAAAATAAAAAAGGAGATTGAGATAAAAGAGGACATAACAACAAAACAGCACAGGTCAGAACATAACAATTTAAGCAACATAGTGTTTCACTACAAGATATCCCGACATAAAAGTAGTTACCATAGTGTCTCTTTTCTTGAAATATTTGAGTGTAACTTCATATACTGTAACATCAAAGATATCAAGACAATGTAAAACCATTCAAGAGAATGACAGTATTACAGGGTATTTAGAATCAACTAACAGAAAATGAACAATGATTTCTGTATTATCTCCTTGTCTATACAAGTTTTTGTTTATATTATCACATATAATAAAATCCAATAAGATACATATTAAGACTGATAGAGACAGAAGAACAAAAGCTTGATGGGACTTCAAAACAAGATGATATTAAATCAGCACTAGCTGTTACGATGTCTTGTTTTCTCTAAAATAGGTGTTAATACCATCTCAGACAATAAAATCAAACAGCCCAGAATAAAACCATTACAATTAATGAATGAAAACATTATAAGGCTTCAAAGCAATATAATGGGGAATCATGATTACCACATACTTTTCTGTATTCTTATCATTTCTTACACTAGGGAAACTATTCAGCTTGAGACCATACTCATAAGTGTAAGCTATGATAACAATACATAAAAGTATGTGGTAATCATGATTCCCCAAAATTGTTAGATCTTCTTGATTCATCTTTGGTAATTCATACATTTCTAGAAATCTTATCCATTTCCTCTGTATTTTCCACCCTTTCTGAGAAAAGGTTTTCAAAGTAGGTATTCATGATCTTCTGAATTTCCATGAGATCTGTAGTAATTTCACCATTTTCATTCATTATTGCATGTATTTGAGTTTTTTCTTTCTTTTTCTTGATAAGGTTGGCTAGAGGTTTATCATTTTTGTTTATTTTCTTAAAGAACCTGCTCTTTGATTCATTAATTTTTGTATTATTTTCTTAGTCTCACTTGCATTAATTTCTGCTCTGATGTTTATAATTTCCTTTTCTATGAACTTTGGGCTTGACATTCTCTTCTTTTTCTAGAAACTTGAGGTGTAGCATTAGGTTTACTTGTGCTTGTTCCATTTTCCTGATGTGACAATTCATTGCTATATATTTCTCTCTTAGGGACCACTTTTATTGCATCCCACAGGTTTTGGTATGTTGTATCTGCATTTTCATTGAATTGTAGGTATTGTTTAATTTCTTCTTTAATTTCACCTATAATCCACTGGTTGTTCAAGAGGTTGTTATTTAATTTTCATGCGTTTATGTAGGCATTACAGTTTTTTGCCATTAATGCCAATTTCAGTGCACTGTGATCATATATTATGTGTGGTGTAATTTCAGTCCCTTTGCATTTGCTTAAAAATGTGCTATGGGCTAATTAATGTATGGCCTGTTTTAGAGATTTTCCCATACACAGCTTAGAAGAATGTGTGTTCTGGTGTGGTGGAGTGGAACACTCCTTAAATGTCAACTAAGTCCATTTGTTCTCAGGTTTGAATCAGTTCTGTTATTTCTTGGCTGACTTTTTGTTTAGTTGATCTATCGCTTTGTGACAAGGGTATTAGGGTCTCTATTACAATTGTGTTATTGCGTATTAGGTTTTTCATGTCCATTAGTATTTGTCTTATATAACTGGGTGCTCCTGTATTTGGTGCATATAGACTTATGATTGTTAGCCCTTCCTCTTGAATTTTTCCCCTACCCTAGTATGTAGCGACTGATGATTCTATGGCCCCCTAGGTCCATGGAGCCCTAGTATGTAGCGAGTGATGATTCTATGGCCCCCTAGGAGCTGTGGCCAACTATCCTGGTGGCCCCTAGGTCCATGGAGCAGGGTGTGGGGGGCTGTTCATGCCAACCATCAGAGTGGCCCTAGGACATGGAGCAAGGAGGGGGTGAAGCTGACGATCCTGGCAGCCCCTAGGTCCATTGAGCAGGTCACTGTATTTTTGATCACACCACATTAAATAAATGTTTATGGCAGTTTTTGTCAGAGAAAAACATAATGTGTCCTCATCTTATTCACTGCATCTGATACCATAACTTCTGGCTCTTTCTCAAAGTCAAAATGACCAGGAAGGATAAATGATTTGAATTGATTCAGGTCATCAAGGCAGCCACAGCAGTACGACTAGACAAGACCTGTACAACTGCTTCAGAAAGTGGCCAGAACTATGGAATAAGTGTGTTTGAAGCAAGGGGGAATGTTTTGAGGGGGATTAATGGCAATAGGTATCTTTCACTATAATAAATTTTAAAAATTTAAATATCAACCATACTTTCTGATAATACCTTGTACTTCATCACACTTGTAATGTTATTTAAATAAATGTCCTCTACTAGATTTTATGGGTAGTGAAAGCAATAAAACTTATCTGTTTTATTTCTCAATGTGCAGTGTTGAACAGAGGGCCAGGTGTATGATACATATTCAAAAACTTGAAGAAATGAATGAAGATAGGAAAATGAGTGTCAAAATCATGTATAACATGTTCTTCCCGGGTTCTTTGTCACCTGGGTCCTTGAGCTTTCTGCCATGGCACACGAAGTGGGGAATGCAGTTGTAATGTATTCCCCTTCTCACTCTGCAGAGCAAGGAGCATTTACCAGATCAAGCCTATCATAATCAAGACAAGATTAAGAATCTGTGCTTCAAGTGCATAGATTATGAGACAGGAGAGTTTGGTCATGGCACAGAGGAGGAGGATACTGTACTGTCCCAGGAAAGACAGACTTCTAACACTGACTGAACTTTTGTGCCCTCCACCTCTCTAGGAGAAGAGAACATGCTGCCTCTGCTGACACAGGAGTCCAGTTCCAAAGCTCGGAGGGGCATTTTAAGGAGAGCTGTGTTTTCAGAGGACCAGAGGAAGGCTCTGGAAAAGATGTTTCAGAAGCAGAAATACATCAGCAAAACAGACCGAAAGAAACTTGCCATCAACTTGGGACTAAAGGAATCACAGGTACTATTGAATCGGAAGATACCGCCTGCTCCTGACTTTTAAAGTAATATAATGGAATCCATTAATTTAGCAAATATTTCTTGTATTGGGCTTGGTGCTGTACTCTGTGGTATTCTTGAAATGCTTCTTACAATTTTTAGTGGGTGGAAATATTTCTGATAATTCCTATTTGGAAGTAGATCTGTTTGCTAAGAGCTCTAGGTTTTTGTCTTTGGGCTGACTGATTTTTCCAGAATGAAGAAAAATGCTAAAGATGTAACATTTAAAGCATAGTGAGGAATTTTTGATGTATTTTTTTTGCCCTATATACAGAGAATCAGACCAAATAATTTCCTTCAAATACAGAAACCAATTTTCCTTTTTCTTCATTTTTAATGTAAAAATCAAAGCATGAATGAATGATACCTTTTAATATGTATCAGTGTTTGGCACTGTGAGTCTATGCCATGTACAGTTAAGTCATTTCACATTTGTAGCATTTATCTTTCTTGTTGCTATTTTATGTAATTGAGAATGAGACTCTCTGGTTTTTGATGTAAGGTGTTAACATTTTCCTCCTTACTTCCTCCTTACACTTTCCTCCTTACTTTCCTCCTTACATTTTCCTCCTTATAGTCATCATGTACTATAATCTTGCCCATTTTCCAGATTAAGAAGTGTAGAGAAGAGAGTGTAAGTCCAGTGTCAAATATAGCAAAACTCTTTGAGAACTGGAGTCCCATCCTAGCTCTCAAACAAGTCCCATCTTGATTCTGGGCTTGTGTTCTCCTTAACCTGGAGCCACCACATTCGGCAGTACAGGGTTTCCATTGTACAAGGAAGGGCATCTGGCCAAAAGCCTTGATGGTTCTTGGCTCTGAGACGGAAAAATAGACCACCCTGGGGACCCTAGGGGTCCCCACGTCTCTCTAGGGACTCAATCTGGATTCCTGTCTGTCAGATAATGTTACATTCTTACTTTGTTCTTTTTTAAAAATTTTTTATTTTAAAGAAAGAAAAGTAAACAAAAATAAAAACAATGATTCAGAGTTTCAAAACAGGATAATAAATTAACAATGGTTAATATGTTGCATATTGTTGTCTTTAAAGTAGTTCCTCAGATTACAAGCTATAGGACTTTGTTTTATCGTTTGACCATAAGATTACACAGATTCTGTATCTTACCCTCCTCTTCCCATACCAACTGTCTCACAGCCGTCTGTTGTCTCACTCCCCATCCAGCCCAAGCCGCGTATGGGTTAGAGTTGTAAACCTGTCACTTGTGAGTAACTGCCTTTGTTCTGCCTACCCTTTGCTACCACAGACTCTATTTAGTTACTCTCCTAACTCAGACTCAGGGCTCAGAATTTGGAGTGTGTAACTGCTCTGGGCCAGCCGGCTTAATAAAGCTTGTTTCCCTCTATTTCTTTGATGTGCCACTTGTGCTTTCTGTGTCACTGATAAATCTGGCTTTGCTGTAATATTTGGTAAAATCCAAAGTTACTGTAATAGTGCAGCTGTATTCACCCGAATTTTCTAATTAGCGTAAAAGAACTGAAGGGCTATCAGAGACTCTGTCCTAACAGTGCTCTACTGTTGTTCCCCACTACAGATGATCTTGGTTTTAACTTTGGACTTTATTGAAACTAGTTATTATTGTGAGAATCTCTTCTTAACCTTTCTTCCTTCAGGGAAGTGATCTGTCTACCCCATCCACTTCCCCACCTTCAGCTCTTGGGAGTCTTAGGATTCAGGGTGTGGTATGGTAGACGGTAATTGATCTAGATTGTTTTCCCTCATTGGTACTAGTAAGTCCATGGCCTTAACTGGTCGGTTGTATTGTGCCTCAGTAAAATAACAAGAATAATTATTGAAATTAAGTCTCCATTATATATGCAGTTTTGTGAATATAACAGATAAATCAATAGTTATTCTGTGATGATCTGTTATGTGTAAAACACTATACTAAATGGGCAGTAAGAGGAAATGTTAGTAAATACTGAGGAGTTCACATTCTTTGCACCCTAGTAACTACACCCAGTGAAAACTCATGAAAATTAGGTAACAATATAAGACTACATACTAACATGAGGGTATTGCCTGCTGGGTTAGGTACTAGTTCTCAAAGTTGTCTTTTATTCTGGAACCTTACATTAATTAGTGCATCTGTCTGGTGAGAACAGCGTTATGACTGGTTTGCACACTCTCAAGAAGCCTGGCAGTGGATTGCCCGATCTTTAGAAGAGCTATAGGGGCCCAGTGAGGGTGATGGATCTCACAGATACAGATAAAAAGTCACATAGTTGGGAATATATAAACAGGTTTCAGAGGCTGGGGACGCTCTGGTTGGGAAACTTCATAATTTGAAGTAGATGTTGAAAGAAAGTCGCTAGGTTCCGTCTGAAAAGGTATGAAAAACTGTCCTAGTATATATATTATGTGTCTGTAAAACTACTCTTAAACCCCAAATGCATAACTATGTCTTCAAAAACAGTTATGGGGAGATAATCATAATCTCAAAGAAGTTCAGTGTTTTTCTTGTTTGCTATCTTTTAGTTTTTATAGATGGGAACATAGTTTTAATCATATCACTTTTAAAATAAAAATGCCACAGAGTGAATGTTTTTTGTCTTAGTAAATTTCATGGGACATTTCAGAAGTAATTTAGCATTTTATTTCCATGTATTATTTATTTCATGATTAATTCATAATATTTGTTGTGGCAAGCTAAAACAAAAGTGCACTTTGTAAAGTTAAAAATGAAAATTTATCTTGCTTACTTCCAATACCTTGTTTACTGGTATTGTATATAAATGTCTCATTTAAATTTATTGAAGCATAATGTATTATTTTAAAAATAAATTTACATGTGAGTTGTATGTGCACAATAATGCCAACACTTGCATGATGCTTGCTGTGTGCACTTATGTTTGATGTAAAGATCCTTTGAGATAGCTACTTTTATTACCACTATTTTATAAACGAAGAGATTGAGACGCAGAATTGCATGTATATATTTTCAAACAATAGTGGGGGTCGTACTGTGCATATATTTTGGCTTTGCTTGAAAAACAGTAAAAATCATCTCTATAACCCAGTACAGACTTCCAGGAATAGAAGCCAGAAGCTCCCCAAAGATCACTTCCTAGTCATTACCTACTTCTACCAAGGATAGCCATCATCCTGACTTTTAACTGTATAGCTCAGGTTAGCCTGTTTTGTGCTTTGTATTAGTTAAATCTTTGTGTATGTATTCCTTTGTATGTGGTTTCTGTTGCTTACATTATGTTTGTGATATTCTTCATGTTGTTGCATGTGGCAGTAAGAGTGCTTTTCCTCATGGCCGTATTGTATTACCACTACATGGTTTAATACAATCCATTCTACCGATGGTGGACATATGTATTGTTCCCATTTCAGTCATTTATCAATAATGCTGACAGTCCATATTGTTTTGTACTTTGTTCCCCTCATTCAAATATTATGGGATGGGTTCTTCTGTGTCAGTACATATTAATCTACTGCATTCTTTTGTGTGTGTGTATCTCATTGTGGATTCTTATGTAGTTGTATCATAAATAATTTAGCCACTCTCTTTTTTTAATTTTATTTAAGGAGAAAAGAAAAAAATAGCAGAGAAAGGGTACAAGTTATACAGATTTACAGAAAAAAATAAACAGTAGGAAATCACTAGTTAATGGATTACATATTGTCATCTTAGAAATAATTGTTCAAGTCACAAAATTAAAGCTTGTAAAGTGGACATTCCAACAATGATACTGCAAACAGTTCTGTTCAATGATCCAATAAAACTCTGTGATATCATTTTCTATCTTATACACTTAAATATACATGCAGTTATATAGTTTAGAGCACTTTCTTTTCCTCTCTTTTGTACAATGACTATTACACATTTTGGGTTTCATTGTTCCCACGGTTCTTATTACTTTTTTGGAAGAGAGTAAAACCAAATGTGACATAACAGAACAGAATCGGTCAAGTCAAAAGGGTGGACATAATAGATAATGTAAAAACATAATACAAGGTGATCAACAACGGTTACCATAATGCCTCCCGCTATCTCTAATAGAATTGCCTATATCATTAGTTATAATATAATTGAACAAAACAGTAAAGAATAAAACCGACAAAACCAAAACATTGGAGACATTGTAGGTCTTCAAAATTAGATAAAAGTCAACGAGAATGGGCGTTATAATGAATCTCATTATCTTCACAGCTGATGCCTAAACTTTCGAACCTGATACTATCCAGCAAAACAGAATAGGGGAACATCAGTCAAAAACAAGATGGTGAGAGTAATACAGGGCTTTAAATCGAGATAATGGAAAGTCAAAGTGGGTTACTATAATATATCCTGCTATTTTTTTCCTTTAATTAAAAGGATAAAAATAAAAAAGTAAATAATGGAGTGGAGATTGAGATAAAAGAGGGCATAACAGCGAAACAGCGCAGATCAAAACATAACCATTTAAGCAGAATAGTGTTTCACCACCAGATAATCCTGACCTAAAAGTAGTTACCATATTGTCTCTTTCCTTGAAATCCTTGAGTACAACTTCGTATACTGTAGCATTAAGTATATCAAAACAATGTAAAACCATTTAAGAGAATGACAGCATTACAGAGTATTTAGAATCGACTAACAGAAAATGAACAATGGTTTCTGTATAATCTCCTTGTCTTTAAAAGGTTTTTGCTTATACTATCGTACATAATAAAATCCAATAAGATACAACCTATTTAGATCATTGGAGACAGAAGAACAAAAGCTAGATGAGACTTCAAAACAAGATGATACTAAATCAGTATTACCTATTAAGATGTCACTTTCTCCAAAATAGCTGTTCCTATCATCCAATCTTCTCTGCCTCATTTCTGTTGAGCTCTTTTTCTGTCAGTAGCTGTCAGTTTGTCTTCTTCATTTTGTTCTCTGCTCCATTCGTTGTGGCCTCCCCACCACTATTTCTGGATTCTTTGTATTTTTCTTTTTTTAGAATATCCTGCAATACTCTCTGTAGAGTTGAATTGGTGGTTGCAAATTCCCCCAGTTCCTCTTTATCCTGGAAGCACCTTGTTTTTCCATCAATTTCCAGGGACAGTTGTGCAGGATATCTCAATCTTGGCTGAAGATTATTATCTTTCAAAGCTTGAATTATTTCCCCCCATGCTCGTGATTTGATGGTTTGTGCAGAGAAATCTGCTGTAATTCTGATGCGTGTTCCCTTGTAAGTGGTCTGTTTCTTGTCTCTGACAGCTTTTAATATTCTGTTCTTGTATTGAATTTCTGGAATTTTGATTATTATATGCCTGGGTGTTGCTCTGTTTGGGTTGTAGGTAGCTGGGGTCCTGTATGCCTCATACATCTGAGTATCTTTACCTTTTGCTAAATTAGGAAAATTCTCCTGGATTATTTCTGTGAGTAGCTTTTGTAGTTCATTTGTTTGTGTCCCTACTTCTTCTTTTATGTTCTTAATCCTTAAGTTATGGCTCCTCTTATCATCTTCTGGTCTTTGTATTATTGCTGTTTGTTTCTTTGTTATTTTTAAGAAGTTTTTCATTCCATTCTCCCATATTACAAGTCTGCCCTCCAGTTCAGATAGTCTGTCCTTAGTTTCTTTCAAGCTGTTATGCCAGTCTTCGACAGACTTCTTAGTTTCTTGGTAGTCCCTTTGAACCTGCTTCACATATTCTATGCTTTCTCTGTTTTCTCCATCAAACAATTTTCCCCCTTTTTCTGTTCTTCCATTCCACCATCTGGTTTTTCTTGGGTGGTGCTTAGCATTTCTCTAACTATTCTGCATACTTCTAGCTTCAGGTCATTGATAACTTCATTCCTGAATTGATCTATGAGGCTCTCTATATGGCGCTTTATGTCTATTGGTGTGGTGTCCGCTATTGCCTGTTTCTCAGAATTGGGGGCCGAGGAGCCTTTCTTGTTGCTGCCTTTTCCCATATTCTCTGTTCCTTATATATGCAAGCTTATATAGGAGACCCAGCTTCTCTCCCTGTCAGCCACAGCCTGATCGAATTGCGCCGGTTAGGTGTTCCCGCCCACCGCAGCGCACCAGGGAGTTACGGACCAGGCAGCCTACGCGGGGCCCGCCCCTCCCGGCCACCGTCAGGCTCTGGGATCTGGGTTGGGACAGCCTCCCGGGTCCGCCAGCAGCGTCACACAGGCCAGGCACTTTTCACCAATCCCGCTCAAGAGGGGGATGTGTGGCTGGAGTCGCCACCGCGCCCTGCTCCGGCAGGACTGCCCGGGCCCAGAAAGTCCTCCGCTGGAGTCAAACTGTGGTAGAGTGTCAGTTTCTCTCACTCCCCTCACCACAAGTCAGTGCACGCCTCCCTGCCCGTCCTGTTTTCGACTCGGTTCGCAGATTCCCGTTCTCAGAGCTTCCGTGCGTCTCTCTCCTTGCTGAGCCGATGTAGAGGCAGTCGCCGCGCGGCGGGAAACCCAAATTGCGGCTTCCAATGGTGCGGGGTCCAGCCTCCACACTGAGGCTTTTCTGTTCCTGTTTTAGCACCAGGACTGCATTCCAAGTTGGTTTCTCTCAGCCCAGTTCGTTCCTGAGTCAGCAGAGCATATCTCCACCTGCTTATATGTCTCCTTACTCCGCACCCTTCCTGACTTCTGAACCAAGCCTTTCAGAGAGCCTCCGTAGTATCTGTTATCTGTCCGCCATGTTCTCTCAGAAGTCCCAATTTAGCCACTCTCAACTTGAAGTTACTTCTAACTTTTTACTGTTGAATTTCATTCTTTTTCTTTTTCTTTTCTTTTCTTTTTTTTGGCGGGGGGACAGAGCTCGCTGTGTAGTCTAGGCTGGCCTTGGACTCACTGTGTAGCCTGGATTGGTCTCATATTCTTAGTGATTCTCCTATCTTAGCCTCCCAAGTGCTAGAATTACAGTCATGGGCCAGTACACCTGGATTTCTATTGAATTTCTTTAAGCTCTTTAAAAATATTTTTGTAAAAAAATTTTTTTCTATGATTAGGAACAAATCCATTGGGGATGGAATTTACATGTTAAAATGTATATGTATTTTAAATTGTGATAGATTAAAATTTTGTCTCCAGAAATTATACTCTATTGCATACTGAGTTATATACAAATTTCATACTGTTGTATACATTTTCACTCTTATTAACAAAGAGTAACTCTTACTAAAATTTCATCAATTACTCATTTTTTAAAAAAAAAGTTTCCAGTTCCAGGTTTGGTGGCACATACCTATAATCCCATTACTTGGGAAGCAAAGGCAGGAAGATTGCTGAGTTTGAGACCAACCTGAGCTACACAGCAAGTTCAAGGCCTTAGTGAACTGCACAGTGAGACCCTGGCTCAGAAAAACAAAACAAAATGAACCAAAATGAAACAAAACAAAATGTTCTTAACTTTTGGTATTTGCTGGGTTTTTTTCCCTGAATGTTGAAACTTAAGAAATTCCAATCACTGTAAAGGCCATTTCTGGTCTGTAGATTGGCCTCATGGACATATCTTTTTCTATCATATTGTCTTTTTGTTGCTATATAGCAGTTATTTTGGATATTAATCAAAACACTTTTAATATGGTGAGTAAATTTTTCTGTTATAGATATTTGGGTTTCAAAATCATAGTAAATATATATACCATAAAATTTACCATTTTAACCTTTTTTTGAAAGGGTTCAGTGACATTAAATACATTCACTTTCCTATGAGGCCATCACTTAGTGCTGTCCACCTCCAGAACCTTTTCATCTTGTAGAATTAAAACTCCGTGTCCAAAAATCAGTAACTTCTTTCCCTCTCCTTTTATCCCTTGACCACTACTATTGTATTTCATGTTTCTCTAAGACTTTCAGGAGTAAAATCATTGCATTCATCTTTCTTATGACTGTCTTATGTTGTATCTTCAGAGTTTATTTACCTAGTAGCATGTGTCAGGACTTACTTCCTAAGACAATAACAGACCAAATGGATATGCTACATTTATTTAGCTATATGTTGATGGACATTTCATTATATCCACAGTTTTACTATTGCAAATAATACTGCTCTGACTTTAACTGAACAAATATCTCTGACTCCATGCTTCTAATTATTTTGGGTAGTTTGTAGCTTTTCTATGTTCAGAATATGCATGTTTATATAGAAATTTTCATTTTTATGCAGTCAGATCTGTCTTTGTCATTGTGGCCTCAATGTTTGATGACATATTTAACAAAACTATTGTCTGCACCAAAATATGATGATCTCTTGTATTTTCTTCTAAAACTTTTATAGTTTTATTTTTCTGGCTAGCTACTTAATCTATATTTTTAAAATTTTTTTATTTTTGTTTTTTCTCTCAATATATATGTTTGTCCTAACAATCATTGTGAGAAAACTCTTTTCATGTTTTTCCTCCTGTTGAGATAGCACTTAAATATTTCAAAATATATAGAAAAACCAAAGAAAAAGAAAAAATGTATTTCCCAGTTTTATTTTAGTAGAAATGTAAATTATTACTTAAGGTATTACAGTATTCAGGAAGAGAATGTGATTGGTACTCAGCATATCAGGAAATCAATTGGGAAGATTTCTGCTCAGGGAAAACTGAATGCCTGGTGCATTAAGAGGATGGCTACTAAGAAAGATGGGTGCTTTGAGGGAAAGTATGGTTCAAATCAGGAACTGCCATCATAAGTGCTTTTGGCATATTACAATTTAATTTTATTTATTGAGTCTAATTAGTTTGATAAATCCTAGGACTAATCTAAACAGGGGAACTGTGGTTTGAGAAATCCTAGGATTAATGTAAACATGGGAACTGCATAAATTCCACTATCAAACTGTTATAAAATATATTTTTAATTTAGTTTTAGGAGGTTCCTGATGAGGTCTGTGTAGTTACAAGAGTCTGGGTTCTGGATTTGGACAGTCAACTTCCAACGTAGTTTGGAATGTAGTTTACCATAGTTGTTCATTTTAGAAGTGTGTGCTGGGGGATATTATATTACTTTCTCAGATGTTTCTGGAGTCATGTGGAGAGCTGCAGGACCTTTCTAGTTGCCTCTCTAATGAGACATTTTATAGGAAAGATAGTAGGAGCCATTGCATTTTAAAAAATAAATGGCTAGGGGTACAGCTCAGTGGAAGACCACTTGCCAAGCAATGAGGCCCTGGGTTTGATCCCCAGCATCACACACACACACACACACACACACACACACACACACACACACACACAAAGCTTAAGTAAATAACCTGGAATAAGTAATTATTTTGTGCAATTGTTTTTATCAATAGGTGAAAATTTGGTTTCAGAACAGAAGGATGAAGTGGCGGAATTCCAAAGAAAAGGAAGTGCTCTCCAGTAGGTGTATCCAAGAAGTAAACCTTCAAGAGGATCCCCTGTCGCGATCTGCTCTGAGTTTCACTCCGTGCCCGTCAGTATGGGAAGTCTCCCAACAACACTCAAGCCCAAGATGGGGGGAGAATTCTCCAGAACCTGTGGAAAGACTAGTCCAGGAAAGTTCACAGGCACTGCCACCAGAAGAAAATTCACTGCAAGGTGCCTTGTATTTGTGCTCTGAGGAAAAAGTTGGAGACAAAGACATACTTTCTACAGCTGTCTGAATGAAAGCATTCCTCCAAGTGAATTTAAAAGAACACTTAACCAGTAGAGTTTGGACTCTAAAACCAGTTAGCTTGTGCCTCACTGATACCTAGAACCTATCAGCTTTGAAATGATGCATGAACTAATGCTTTAGGAAACCTACTTCGGTGTTCTTTTATTTTGCCCTAGACTCAGGCTTAATTTGTAAATGGAGTAGAATCTCCCAGGAGATATAGTACATTGGAACTGAGAGGGATATGAGCAAGCTTTGGCTCAGGCCCTGCTCTGAGTGTTTGTATATACGTGTGTCTCTCTGTGTGTATATATGTAAATATTCATTAAAATACAGTAGTAGAAACTAGTTTCTCTTTAAATTTTGCATTGATAATTCATTTTTATGAAGAAAAATCATTGACAAAATGTTATTTTTTAAAATAATGTAAAATTTGGACTTTAGTTTATACTTCTATACCACAAGAATACATTTTAAAAGATTCTACATTTTCTGGTTTCTTTTGTTATCCAGCTTATGTGAGTTTTAATAGCTCAGAAACCCTAAATAGATGAGCCACAGTTAGATACATACACAGAATATGTGTGTTTAAAATAGTCCCAACAAGAAAATCAGAATTTCTGAATGTAACTAATATTTTAAATTTCCAAGTCTCAGGACTTTATGAAGCCACCAATAAGGGAGTTACCAATTTAACTAATAATTATCTTTTGATCTTCTTTCTGTAGGGATAGGCCTACACTAGCCTTTGCAAAAATAAAATGAATGCCCTTTAGCGCCTGTCAGATAAGTAGAGGTCATGGCTCACCTAGAGATAGACATTTGAGTTTAGTACTTCTTCAGATATGGTGTTGGCTAAACAAAACATCTGTGTAAAGTAGTGTGGGAGCTCTGGCCAAGAATAAAGAAAGCCGTGGTGTCACAGTTCTTAAAATGTTCCCAGTTGGACTTAAAAACACAATACTGATGGAATCTACGATGACTTCTGTTTGTACTTTTAGTTATAGGCTCAATTTTCCACTTAGTTGGCATAAACTATATTTATGATTATTTTATATATTAACAAACACCACACAGATGTTTTATGTTTTTTTACTACTCTAAAACAATATATTAGTAAACTTACATTTCTGGTAACAATTTGCTTAGTTAATCCAGAAATTTTAAATCTAAGTATGAGAAAAACTTATGTTTCATTTTGAAAGAAATGAAGCCGAAAAGGGAAATGATGTAGTGTTGAATTAAGCTGTCATTAATTTGTGGACAAGAAACATTACTAGAACTTCATTATGTGGCATTTTGTTAGCAGACTGTGTTGAGTGGCTTCTAACTTGCTAACCTGTTCAGCCATAGGCTTTGAAGCTTTCACAATTCGAAAAAGAAATAAAATGGGATAATCATTTTAATCAATTTTGGGAAATTATTTTTATCAGTGGAATTTGAAGTAGTATATGTTAACCAGTGCCTATCACATGATCCTTTTACTTAAAAGTCACTTTAGAAGTTTGCCTTAGTGTCTCACGGGGAGTGGGAAAAGGAATCTACTGACAATTTAAATTTAAAACCTGTTTTTGAAGGACTTACAATACTTTATTTTCTTTACTTAATGTTGTGTATAGTGGGTTAACTTACTTAATCCCCACAGCAGTAACCCTGTGATCTACGAAATACTCTACTGTCAGGATTCCTGTTACTCAGACCATAGAGTATAGTTGGGGTGATTTTCCAAGATTATAAGGTTAATAAATGGAATTTGGGCCCCTAACGTTCAAGTTTCAAAGCTTGAAATCTTGCCAACCTGTGGGGTGCGTATATACTCATATAGCTATCCGATGTCTTATAAGAGATGCATTTTGGGATTTACAGTGAGATTTTGCTAAAGAAATTTAGAAACGTTATATTTTACATCCTCTTAATAGATTTTTTTCCTCTGAGATTTTAAAGTATAAGAAAAGGAATTATAAATCATAAACAGTAGTAAATTATTAAGTGCTTGTATATAATAAGTGTTTCTTGATTATTATAAGTTAAGACTTGGGAGAAGCCTGTCAAGGACATGTGATTACCCAGGTTGGAGAAATGGGCTAATAATCTATCATAATTGTTGCTTAAATGATCTTCTGTCAGGATACTATGTATTAGCATATTTGTTGTCATCTTTTTACATAAATACTGCTCTGATTTAACACTGGGACCATAGGTAACTGAAGGTTGAAACATTGCAAGTTTTTCAAAAGAAATTGTCAAATAGACTTAAGCAGATGAAGAATATGTGGTGAGAATTATCTCCTAAGTCTTTATGAATATTTAGGTTTAGAAATAAACAGATTAGGAATGATCTGTGATTCTGGAGTTGTGAAGGATATGATCATTCATGCCTGAATAACAGCTCTATTTTCCTTGTAATAAAATGGCTTTACTGGGGGGACCCACTTGTTTAGTCCACTGGTTCTCATTCTGAGTTTCCACACACATGATTATGTCATACCTTCTAGCAAGTTTTCAATATGAACACAGATTTAGACATACACAGTCCTTCAGCATCCATGCCTTCCACCCCAACTCAGAGGATTCGTACACTTTCTCACTTTTCAGAATATAAAACCATAAATGTGTTTGTTCAGTCTACACTGTTCTTTCCAGCTCCTTTCACCCCTTTTTGATGATTCCTTTTAGAAGCAATGTACTCCCTAGTCCTTGATGTGCAACATGACCCAGGCATCCTTGATGGCCAGCAAATTCCTTCCACCTTTGCTAGCCGTTAGCATAAGGAAGCTTCTTCCTCTTTGTTCCTAAGCTTGCAACACACTGCTTCCGTAACTATGCAAACTCATAATTTTTTTTTGTTTTCAGAGTGCCATAATTTTCAATATGTAGATTCTTCCTTTGTTATTGATTCCTAAGTATTTCATTTTTTAGATGGTATATCTTTCCATTTCTTCTAATTTTTCTCAGTGAGTTTGTTGTTTGTGTACAGGAATACTATTGTTTGGACATTGTAGCCAGCTATGCTACACAATTTGGTTATTAACTCTAGGAATTCTCTATTTTTTTGGTGGAGTTTTTGGTGTCTTCTTTGTGGAGTATGTCCGCCGCAAATAATAATAGTTTAACTTTTTCTTTCCTATCCTTATTCCTTTTATTTCTTTCTCTTGTCTAATCGCTCTGGCTACAGTTTCCAGGACTGTGCTGAACAGGAGTGGAGACAGTGGATATTCTTACCTTGATCCTGATTGTAAAGTGCAAGCTTTCGGGTTTTGCCCATTTGGTATGTTGTTGGCTGTTGGTTAGTCATAGATGGCTTTTATCAGATTGAGGAAGAGACCATCTATTCTGACTTTCTGTAGGGTTTTTTTTTTCATGAATGAGTGCTGGGCTTTATAAAAAGCTTTTTGTGCATCTATTGAGATACTCAGGTGATTTTTGTTTTTGGCTCTGTTAATATGATGTGTTGTATTTATTAATTTGCATATGTTAAACCATCCCTGCAGTCACAGAAAATGGAAAGATACACCTTATTCATGGATAAGAAGAACCAATGTAGTGAAAATGGCCACACTTCCAAAAGATGAATGCAATAGAGATTTAATGCAATCCTAATCAAAATACCATTAACATACCTCACAGAACTAGAGAAAACAATTGTAAAATTTATCTGGAAGCAGAGGAGACCTAGAATTGCAAAGGCAATCCTGGGCAATAAAGATAAGATAAGCATCATAATTCCAGATTTGAAATTACACTACAAAGCTACTGTGATAAAATCAGAATGGTACTGGAAAAAAACCATACTTGAACAGTAGAACAGATGAGAAGATGCAGACACAACTACAAACTCACTCAATCACCTTATCTTTGAAAAAGGGGCCAAACATGTTCACTAGAAGAAAGATAACCTCTTTAATAAGTGATGCTAGAAAAACTGACACTCTACATGTTAAAGACTAAAACCAGATCCATGAATATCACTTCACTAGACTAAAGTCAGAATGGATCAAGGGCCTAAATATTAAACACTTAAGTCTACTGAAGAGAAAGTAGGTGAAAAACACAGGGGTAGGCAGAGACTTCATGAGCAAAAACCAAACAGTGTGGGAAACACCAAAGAATCAACAACTGGGATCTTGTTCTTTAAAGAGCTTTTGGACATCAAAAGAAATCACCAACATAGTAAAAAGACAACCCACAGAGTGGGGAAAAATTTTAGCCAACTGTCTCTCAGATAAAAGATTCTATCTAGAACATACAGAGAAAAAATCAGACCCCCCCAATTCAAAGTCCCAATCCAAAAATGGGCAGCTTCTCAGATGAAGAAATACTAATAGCAGATAAATATATGAAAAAAATGGTCATTGGTCATTTGAGAGATGCAAATTAAAACAACACTGAGATTCCACCTCACCTTGGAAAAAATGGCTACCATCAAGAAATCAATAAATGCTGGAGGGGCTGCGGGGGGAAAAGAACCCTTCATTGTTGGTGGGAGTACAAACTGGTGCAACTACTGTGGAAATTGGGGTGAAGATTGCTCAAAAAACTAGGATTTAAGGTCCCATTTGACTATTCCCCTTCTGGTTTATCCAGAAGGATTAAAAACATCACACAGCAGCATATGTGCATTATAGTAGCACAATTAGTATCAGCTAAATCTCAGAAATGGCCATCAACCATGTAATATTTTTATAAAATGGAGTACTACTCAACTATAAAGGAGGCTAAATTTAAGACATTTATAGGGAAGTGGATGAAATTTGAGACCATACTCTTAAGTGAAGTAGATCAGATTCACATGTTGTAAACATTGTATTGTCTTCCTAGTGTAAGAAGCTGAAAAAAGTAAAGGTCCAAACTGTAGAGTAGATATGGTGAAATGGGAAGCAACTGTTCGAAAGGAAAAAGAAACTGGGATGGAGGAAAGGAAAAAAGGAAGGGAAAAATATATATGCACACAAAAAATAATATAGTTATACTACTAATTTCTCTTAGTTCATTGAAAAAGTTTATGCCTATATTGTTGAATCAATTTTTCATGCTTGTGTCTTGTAATATGAGCAGCTACTCTGAAGATAACAATACACGATGTCCTAACCATTGTTACTCTCCTACAATCTTGTTTTGAAATTTTGTACCATTGTTTTGGGTTTTTTTCTTAAATTTTTTTTTCTAAATTTCAACACTTATTGGACGCTCTGCATAAAACATTGTTCTAACCTGTGTGTCAGCAAATATGGGGAAGAGCATGCGTGGACCTTGCCCTCCTTGCTTGTAAATTAGTCTTCTTGCAAAACAGCTTTTGAAGTAGTCCATATTGTTGGTGAGATCCAGTGAATTTGTGGCAGAAATCTCACGTCCACTAAAAGCTCCAACTTTTCATTTGCAGTGGGAGAGTTAGCTTGTCTCCTCTTTAGAGAGTATGAATTCCTCAACATGCTTGTTGTCTGTACTGTCCTTCCTCCTGGCCAACATACTCCCAAGAGGAGTCGAGGGTCCAGAAAAGTTTGGTAGCTCCCTTTTGGTCACACTGCATCCTGTCTCTTTTTTTCTCTTTCTCAGTCTCAGAGGAAGAGAGAAGAAAAAACAAATTAATTCAACCTGGAGAAATCAGGATAATGAGTATTTTTGAATGTACAAAGAAAATGTTGCAGGATTAATTTATATCTTTTTCAAATCATTGCAAAGGAAGTAACTATCATAAAGACATTAGTGCTTGTTCCAAAAAGATGCTTCTTTGTTTCCATTTATTACCTGAGTTACATTACATTGCAAGGGATGATCAAATTTACAGTGAATGTATAAATTTTAAAAACTATTATATTGAAAGACACATTGGCATTAATGCCTCTCAGAATACTCTCCCTCCAGTCAAACTCACTTATCCCATTGTTAAAGCTATTTTCCGAAGCAATTCTGGATGTCTTCTTTCCTGAATGTGTTTAACAGGTGTGATTAAAAAAATAATAATAATAAATCTGTGAATGCTGCTCCCAAGCGCCATCCAGTGGAAAAGCAGACTCATGAAAAAAAAACCTCAAAGTGTTTTCTGGTCGTTTTTTCACTGACTGACATGTTGGCTATTTCTTAAAGTGAAATGACCATGAAAAAGAAAGGGTTTGAATTGATTCAGAAGACTAACACAACCACAACAACACAGCTAAAGATGCTTATGAAAGAGAACTTTCAAAACTATTTTGGAAAATGGCAACAATGATGGGATTAATGTGTTAAAGTGAGACAAGAGGGGGAGTAATGACAAGAAATATTTTCCTATAATACATTTAAATTCTTTAAAACACCATATCATTCAGTTAAATTATTATTTTTAGTTATAAAAAGCACATTTCAAAAGAGCAAACAATGTAAAATTATGTATAATTTCACCATCTGAAGACAGGCTGCTTTAGTGTATGAAAATTTTCACTTTTTAACACATGTATATGTAAATATATGTACCTAAGTAACTTTATGTCCTAGTATATATCCAGTTTTATGGCTTCTTTCAACTTTGTATGCAGAAGATTTTCCCATATCCATTAAAATTACTTGAAATTATTTATAATGGCTGCATAATATTCCTTTTTAGTTCCTTCTTTTCTCGTGGTGGACCAGGATAAGGGCCAGGAGATGAACAGTCATGAAAGTGATGATTGTAGAGTTCTGTATTTAAGTAAAATAACCTGATGATTGTGATGTTTTCCTAAGTAAATGAACCCTCAGAAAATAAGGCAAAATAATAAAATTGAGGAAGTTCTCAGTGGTGCTGAATATCAAGGAGCATCAAATATACCATAAGAATCTCTTTTAAAAAGCTACCATGAAGCTTATCAAAGTACACCGCATCCATTCAAAGTCCAAAGCGGTTTATATGCATGCTTGGATTTCAGTGCATAGCCAGCAGCAAACAATAATGTGGTGACGTTCTGTTTTTTGTAATTATGCTTTGCAGTCAGGTTGATGCTTTATTCATCTGTTTTTCAGTCTGTGTTATAATCAGCAGAGTGAACAGAGATCACCTGTTCTGTCACCCATTACCACTTTGAAGGCTGAGATAAGAAGGCTGGTTTGTCCATTTAGTTTAGCATTCTCACAACTTTATGGATATTCTCTTAAAATTACTTAAATGATAAAAATTATAGAGAATTTTGGGATCAGAACATTCCAAGGTTAAAAGGGAACTAGAAAACTTAATGTTATTTAAACCCAAAGCAGAAGTGTCAAACTGTTGATGTTAATTGAAAGCTGAAAAAAATCAGGCACATTAAATTTGAATAAAATACAGTACATAATATTTCATAATATATATAATACTATTGCTATGAATTCATTTCAGTGAAACATTGAATAGCATTCCTAGGGCTGTGACAATTATCAAACTGGGTCAAAACAACAGAAATTTATTCTCTTAAGGTGAGGAGGCCAAAAATCCCAAATCAAA